ATCTACATCGTCAGGGCTTTCTTGCACGCGTTGGGGTCTTTGAGCCCACGGTCTCCAAACCAATGGCCTGGGTTGAGGGGTTGCATGCGCTGGCTTGTTTCAACATTGCTCGTCTGTATTGAGTCCGCTATACGATGCACATAGCAGCTGAACTCAAGACAGAATCCAAAAAAATAAAACTTCACCGAAACTTCGCTCAGCAGGAAACCGGTCATAAAAGGAGTTTTCCTTAGTGACCTGGGCAAGGCCGTCACCCGACAACTACTGCAGTCTTCCGAGGCCCTGACTAAACCTGCTTGCTAACTCACCTCCGCCTAACTGGGTTGGCCCTAAAACCATTTGAAAAATATTAGTGTATAGGGTCCCTTATTTAAAGCCATTAGGTCATTAGGGAAAATAGTAAATATTCCAGTGGCCTACCTAGCTAATTATCCCCCCATACCCCAGATGAGCTACAATCAAATCTTACCGTATACTTTTTGGGCATGAGTTCCTTATTCAGGAATGTATTACGGACTATACTAAAGAAAAACAACGGTCCCTATGTCCACCTTTAACGGTCCCTTGCTAGGCCTAACATTGACTGTAGCTCATATACAGCGCCAGTACGTATGGAGGCAATATCTGCTTTGGGGATTGGGGGGCTTTATTCCTGCTAGCATGATGGAATGAACCCCAGTATTCCATTTGATTCTCCACAACCCGGGAAACAACCAGGCTAAACCCTGAATAGTAGTTTACAATTTCTTGTGATTATGCCAATATGATCCCTGTATATACAAAATTGGGGAAACAATCGCACTACACCCCACAACCCATGGGACCCTCTTCCCGGCTAGGCGCGCTGGATTTCAAGAGGAAGTCAAGTTGGTGTTCACTCGGCGGTGTGCCGGGTGGAGTGGAGGAATCGAGATCCGTCAGGAGGTTGACCACTTGGTTGCGGTCCAACTTGCCGGTCTTTTGCTTGTCATGGGCTTTGATGATCTTCTTAAGCAGCTTGCGCTGGTACTGCTGCCACACAGCCTCTTTGGCCTCTGGTGGATCATATAGTGGGTGATGATTCAATTTACTGCTAGCTCTTCGGTAGCCTTGAATGGCGGCCACATGTCCCACCGGCATGGCTCGGAATGAACGTCAAACCGTAAACGCTGCACACCGTAGTACACAGACCATTATAATATCTTGGGGTCTATATGGGGTCCCTCTGTCTAGGGAAACTGCATCACATATCACTGCCTTTCAGCGCTTTTCAGAACATCTTCAGGAGACATCAGAGACAATTAGCAAACTGGGGGACCGACCACATCACATGAGCTATAGTCTAAAGTCTTAGAATCCTCCTTAATAACCCTTTGATGCTCCCCTATACAACCCCCTATATACTCCCCCCTTTTAGGGAGTTTAGACTACATGTCACATGTCTAGTTGTCATACACTCTGTTCTTCGAGCCCTAATGTTGCTCTGGGATGGAGGTTTGCTTGCAGCTGCCTGCATCGCCACCTTCCTGGAGGCTGCGCGTTTTAGGGCCATGGGTTTAGGGTTTGGGGTTTAAAGTTCAGGGTTGCGCGTTTAGGACCTAGGGTTTAAACCAACTGCAAATCAATTCTAAATACACCTGAGGCCATGTTCCGAGTGTTCTCTGGCGTGAAAATCCACCTGCGCAGGCTGAAACATTGGCCAGAAGTCTAACAAAATACTGCCCCTGAGATACCGTATTTACCTGAATACGGCACTGAAATGCCAACAAAAAACAAGCTTGGAACACCGACAAGCGCAGTATCTCTTCCTCGTCATAGATACCTTAGGAGGACCCCCCACCCTGTAATAGTGGTATAATAGGAATATAATAGGACCCTAATATAATCCTTATTATCCCTTATTGTCACTATTACTGGTTGCGGGGTCCACCTCATAGATACCCTTACTCCCTAACATTAAATATTTCATTCCCAGCTCAGTTTATTACAGTATACCACAATAGGAATATTTCTTATGCACGTGGGTGGGAAAATTTCCCATTGCTTGGTGCGAACCAGCCAGCTCAGTTTATTACAGTATACCACAATAGGAATATTTCTTATTCACGTGGGTGGGAAAATTTCTCATTGCTTGGTGCGAACCAGCCTACCCTCAGCAAGCCGAATTCCCTTGAACTTTGCCCATCGCCGCAAGCCCCGAAAATCCACTGCCTGGACCATGTCCCGATCCTTCACGCCTGCCGGGTGTGTCTGTGCTGGGATTGCATTGCTGGTGAAAAGTCCTGCCAAATTCTATCTTCATCTCGAAAGTGGGTTGTAGTTTTGTGGCCTGGTCACGGTGGTATAGTGATGCGGCAGGAAACTTGACCTTTGGCAGGCTAAAGAAGGGACTTCTTTTTGAGACATGGCCCTGGGGCTTATTGCAGGGGATTTTGAGGCAAATTGCGTGGCGGTGCAAGGATAAGAACAGGTGCCCGATGCGCTACGTGATGTCTGAAGATTGGAGGTGGAGCCTACTAAGGACCGTTTTGCGGAGCAACGACCTCAACGACATATCAATCTCACTGCCCCCAGCACTATGTTGCTACTACTGCTGCTACTACTAACTACTGCTACTACTAATTACTTCTTCTACTACTACTACTGGTTTCTTTGGGGGCTCTCCTGCTGACGGTCCTACCCTTTTCCCCGTGCTGTCAGACAGGGCGTCGCGGCTTCGGGACACATCCCCAAAAAAATGATATAGGGGACTGCTATACGGACTGTAGGGGGTATTAAGGGGTATGCCAGGCTTTTGGACGACCTGGACCCCAAAAGTAGATAAAATAATGGCCCAAAACCATTAACAACTGCCCAAAAAGCAACTGGTTTACACACTTTTGGGTTTCAGGTAAACACTTGGGGCACCACACCCTAGATCCGAGACCTAAACCCCACACAATCCAGTGGCTCGTGGAGGCGACGATTTGTTCAACAAGGCACGATTCTGACCCTCCCCCAAACTAACATGGAACCACATGAGCTATGGTCTAAACTCCTAGTATCCCCCTTCATAACTCCTATCCCCTCTCTAGCCCCCTTTAAGGAGCTTAGACTACAGTTCACATAGAGTAAGGCTTCCCACTTGGGGTGATACGAATAATGAGCAGTATAGTATTTGGGGGTATATATTGGGGTCCCATATTTCTGGAAACTCCCCTAAAGCGCTTGGTGAAACGGACAATCTTTATCGGGTCCTGTTCACGCTTCCACTTTAGTTTGGGAGAGGCTACATACTATCCATACTATCACAACTGTTTCGTATCCTAAACCCTAAACCCTAAACCCTACACCCTAAACCCTAAACCCGTATACCACAACCTACTACTATCCTTTGAGATGCCTTCCTGCAGAAAATGAACACCCACCCCACTAATGACAAGTATTCGCCGTACCGTGAAACCCCCGCTTAGCTGCCAAATCCAAAGCGCAGAACGTACTTCGAACTTTCCCCCGTCGCAATTGCAAAATCCAGTCTGCCAAAATGAAAGAAAAAGGCAAGCCCTGGCTGCTGGCTACTTCTATTACGGGCTAGTACTGCTGCTGCTCCAGCTGATGGACCCGGATGCGGAGAATTACGGAGGCTCGGGTCCACATCCAGGCTGTGCGGGGGTGGGGGGGTTCTTCTGAGTCCCCCCGTATAACCCACCCCTCTAGAGAGGGTTTTCATCATGAAGGGGAGGGGATTATAGCTGTAAAAGGCCTGGGACGAGGTGGATGCGGCAGTAGAGGAAGTCGCAGAGGGCGTTGCTGGTTTCCTGCACCTGCGCTTGCTGCTTTGTGTTAGCTAATTTCATTGGCGGTTCTTTACGACAATTCAAAATAATTCCGGATCATGAATAAGGTTGTCTGGGGTCCACTATCTTTAAAAGTCGCCATTTGGAGTGAGGTCGGGTGAGGTCACCAGATTTATTTGGCCAGCTTTTCGTAGGGAATGGCAAAGAGAATGGGGCTACTGTTAGAGTTAAGGAAAGGAAAGGCATAGAACAACCATTTAGGGCTGAGAGTTTCAGGCAATGGAAAAAGAATTGCAAAATGCAACCATCTCGTTTGGAATTCTATAGGGGACCCACTTTAGGAAAGGAATTCGAAACGGGCCTGCGAGCAAAACAATAAGACCAGAATGTAGGGCATACATTACTTGAACAGGGTTTTGAGATACATTAATACAAGGGTTCTTCTTTAATACTGTTGGTCAAAAATTATTGAGGCTTCTGTATTATGCTACCATTAAAAGACTAGGGCTGCTGGTTGAGTACCGGGCACGGTAAGAAGAAATTCACCATACTCTGATCCACACAGAAACGACAATGGCGCCTGGTCATAAACACCCGGACATTCAGACAAAAGACAGCTCTGTCGTACTTCCTCCGCAAGTCTAGGCCGAGGGACGCCCAGAATTTTAAACATGCGGAAGACATAGCCTATACAGCAACTGAAATTCGAATACCTGGATCTAACAGGCGGTCATACTGGCTATGTCAGCGAATCAAGCTGGCCGCCCTTGCGCAAAGATCAAGCGAGGATCAGGTGAGTGATGTTTTTTGGTGGTTAAGGCAGATAAGATTTTCATCTTCCAAACAAACCCGAAATGATAATACTGTACAATCTTACTCTACATGTACACCACCAGGTGGTGTCGTCCTGCAACGCTTGGGCTGCTCCTACAGGGTTGTCAACTGATTGCGTGTGCTTGAGGTTTTTGTCTACTGGCAACATGCCCAACCCCCAAACCCCAAAGGGGACTTTAGACTTCACTTCGCCATGTGAGAGTTTCTCAACACAGGGAGCCCTTAGGGAGCCCTGGGGATAGATAAGAATTAATGGTTATGAAGGAATTATGGGGGGTTCTGTTTAGGAATTCTTCTGACGCTATTTTGAGAAAGTTGCCTGTCTCCTATGGCGCAGGCTCGTATACCTGAACCAAATTTCCAACATGCAGTTCCCATTCCCACTTCGTGCAGCATTTGGGTTTCCGAGAACTAGGGGTCCCTTTTTGGGGTTCTCTTGCTTATGGCAAGCCCCATTTTTGGTCCATGTATTGCCGAAATAATCGACTGGGTGGTGCTAAAGCAACACCAAAACTATCTGATTCTACAACCCAAAACCAGACACTTTACAGCTTCTAAACCCCTCAAGTCGAACAGGCCCTGCACAACCCCAGGCACAAAGCCATCAATCCCCAAACCTTCAACAGCCCTAAACCTTAAAGCCTCAACCCTAAACCTTAAACTTGAACCCTAAACCTTAAACCCTAACCCCAAGCCCTAAACTAAATCCTAAACCTTCAACCCTAAACCCTTAATCTCCTAAATCCCCTTCCATCTGCCATATCCCAAGCTCCAGTCGGCCTGTGGCTCCCCCAGAACCTGATCATAGTTCAGGGTTTAGGGTTGAGGGTTTTAGGGTTTAGGGGTATCAAGGTTTCGGGTCTAGGGGTATAAGGCTTCAGGGTTTAGGGGTTTTAGGGGTATGCGGGTATAAGAGTTCGTTCGGGATTTAAGTGTCTAGGGGTTGAAGGGATTAGGGTTTCGTGCTCAAGTTGCGGGCCTTTACGGTACACGTGGTCAGCTGCCTTGCCGCTAAGCAACTTAACTAACACAACATGAGCATCAAGTCGAACAAATGGATGTGCAAAGGGCGCTGAGCATAAAAGTTCTATAAGATTGAAGCAACGAAGTTACCATAGCAAACGGAAAACAACAAGGAAACGACTATATGGTTAAGTGTAGCGGGGGCTGAAAGTAGGTCGATAAAAAGGCGGACAATCTATGTACTACATCCACATATAAGCCATAGTCTAAGCTCCTAGTATCCCCCTTAATAACCCCCATAGCAGTCCCCTATATAATCCCCTATATAACCCCTTTAAAGGAGTTTAGACTTTAGACTCTAGCTCATATAAAGGCAACTTTATTCAGGGCTGCTTAAGCTAACTGGGGTTACCGCCTTACTTTCAACGCCTCTAGCTGGATTTATATGAGCTTTAGTCCAAACTCCTGAAAGGGGGGGGGTTATATAGGGATTATATAGGGGACTACTGTAGGGAATATTAAGAGGGATACTAGGAGTTTAGACCATGGCTCATATAGCTTATTCCAATGCTAAGTAGGGTTATAAGCCCGGTTGTACGTGGCCAGTCTGTCCAGTGAACTTTCAAGTAAGTATACTCTACTTCTTGGGTTCACTTCGCGGTGTTAGTGGGCTTCCACGCCCACTTTTTGAGTGGGATGTTTGTCCACCCCAAACCAACCCTAAAACCTAAACCATGGATTTGAATAGAACAAGAAGTCTAGAAGTGAACCCTTCCATCACAATGGAAGCTGCGAAAAACAGTGACTTCATAGTCCCGAAGGAGGAACCCCTATTCTATAGGGACTTTAGGAGGGACCCCTAATAAAAACCCTTACTTAATCCCATTACCATATATAACCTTTCTATAGTCATTATATAACCCTATATCCCTAGGATGTCCCCATATGAACTCCCCTAAGCTACAAGGGTCCCTATTAGGGGTCCCTCCAAAAGTCCTTAGCCCTATGATTGGTTGGCATGATGGCTATGGATTTATAGGGTCAACCCTAAACCCTAAACCCTAAAACCCTAAACCCTAAAACCCTAACCGCACAGTCGATGCGGTATCTTTGCCTTTTCTTGGCCCGAGCCTCGTATTTTGTGAAGGAGCCGCCATCCCACTTCATCCGCTCCTGATCTTTGGGTTTAGGATTTAGGGTTTAGGGTTTTAGGGTTTAGGGGGTTAGGCTTTAGGGTTTAGGGTCAAGGGTTTCAAGAAATACAGATACTTTGAATTGGGATGAATTGGGGTGAATTTGGGGGGCCGTAAGAGATCTCAGGGATACTGAGGGTTCTACAACAAGATGCATCCGCAGTTTGTACTGTTGTGAGGAAAATGCAACATTGTGGAGGGGGGCTTTACCTTACGCCCTAAACCAGTATCAGGGGGATTGGTTACCAGGCTCCAACTTTAGAATTCTGGAGGGGTCATGTCCTAAACCCTAAACCCTGCTCTCCCAACAATACATCCGAATTTGCGGTTTAGGGTCTCGGGTCTAGGGTTGCGTGCTTAGATGTAGGGGTATAGGGTTTGGGGTTGAGGGTGCAAGGACCACCGCCACTCTCAAACAGCACAAACAGGCAGGGTGGTTCACGCGATTCTGCATTGTAGGGGTCCCTATTGGGGGCTCTCCAAAATAAGGATTATGGTATGTCAAGGTACATAAGTGTGACCCCATTTTTCGGAAACTCTCAATATACCCATCATGGCACTGCCTTCACAACCCTAAACCCTAAGGCCAGCCCTGTGTACTCCTCTGCTGAATACAGCGCCCACAGCACTGCTTCTGCAGGCTCCGGCGTGGCCAGAACCACCTCTGCAGCAAAAAATCAGACTTGCTTGGAGGTTAGTAGGCATATGGAAATGTATTGGGGTTATATAGGGATAATGGAAAAGAAAATGGAAACTATGACACTGTACTACACTATACTACACTCATTACAATAGAGTATATATCATAGTCGTTATACTCGGGAATATGTGAATATATGAAATAGGGGTTATATATGGATTATATTCCCCTATTCCCTAGTAACGCCCAGCTAGCAAAAGACTTGGCGATTCAAGGCTTAGACCATTTGGCAGTTTCCCAAAATAAGGCAGGGACCCCAATATAGACCCCAGAATACTATAATCCTTAATATAGGGCAGCCACAGAAAATCCCTTCATTTTGGGAAACCTCCTGCCAAGCAGTCGAAGATGAAAACTAGTTTGTTGTTAGTGCTTTTCTGATCTTAGGCTATCCAGTGGTGACAGCAAGATACAGAAAGCAAGCCACACGTCACATCTCAGGCAGCTGTTTCTAAGACAACTGCTGCAACAAAAACATCCGCGGAAGTTCACAAGTACAATTGCCTACTTGATCCTACACTCCGAAAAACCCTAAACCGCATGTAGCTGAAAGCGGGGCCTGAGAAGCCACGAACATCACAGGGTCGTCCCCTGCTTGGGCGGACCACACCGCGCAATGGTCCTTCTTTTCAGGTTTTAGGGTTCTGGTTCCGCGCAAGGGGCATCGGGGTAGCTGCAAAATACACCAGCCGCAGCACACAACCATTCAGATGATTGTGGCGCTCAAGCAGCCCTAGCTGAACACACTGCCGTGTGGAACAAGCATTACCCTCAGGATCCACATAGCCCAATGTAGGTCATACTAACAGACTTTAGGGCCCAATGTAGGTATTATTTGTATACTTGGACCCCTAGGGTTTTGGCAAGCTGATGTCCTTTTTGTGTCTGGCGCACGATCACGTCAAGGTCTATCTGGGGAACCCTATACTATAATTATACTAGGAACGTAGAACCATGAGTTCTAAGGTAGGTTTTTTCTTAAGGTAGCTTTTTTAAAGGTAGGGTTTAGGGTTTCGGGTTTGGCCCCTGGAGTGTTTGGAACATACATACACTCTGTTGACAGAGCTCGTTTAGGAGCAATGCAGGTGACAGACGCCTGACGAACCTCCGCCCCAGGGGTCTCTTTCAAAACATCACAGGGATGTAAGGGGTATAGAGAGATATATAGGATTTAGGGTTCTTGGGGCTTAGTAGCTAGTTATTACTGGGCTTATAAACCTACCTATAACTGTTGTGACCTACATCAACTAGGGCTATGCACCCCGCAGGTGCTAAGTACAATGAACCTTCAAGTGATATCAATACGCCCACCCCCTCCCCCCACCCGACACACCGCCCGAAGATTAAGATTAAATGTGCCAAGAAGCCCTATTTAATCCTATAAACTCCCTACCCCAAACCCTAAATCCCTCAGCTCTTGAGGCCCTAAACCCTAAAGCCCCACACTAAAACTCTAAACCCGAAACCCTATATACCCCTATATATCCCTGTATAACACCTATATTCCCTTTAGACCTTCAATCTTCGCATCTAAGGGATCTAGGTATATCCTTGTATATATTCCCTTTAGACCTTCAATCTCCACATCTTAGGGATCTAGGTATATCCTTGTATAACCCCTATATTCCCTTTAGACCTTCAACCTCCACATCTTAGGGATCAAGCCTTATGGACGATGCGCTGGATGACCATGTCCCCAACTGTTTGCTTGGTGCCAGGCTGCACCTTCAAACCACTCCCTTGAAGGTTTAGGGTTTGTGTGACTTAGGGTTTTGGTGGTTTATAGGGGTATATGTAACTGTATATATATATATATTTATATACACATATTTATATACTTAGAGGATGCAAATTCAACCTTCGGTGCAGGTGGATCAGGTCAAACCACTTCTTTGAATTAGATCCCTCGCAGCATCTAATCTAATCCCGCATTTAGGGAGCCGAAGGAAGCGTTTTTCAACGAGAACAGGCCCTGGGCACGCATGAGAGCTACTTGGAAGCAAACCCATGAAACTGGGACACGTAGGATGCCTTGCAAGCTAAATTCACAACCCCGGACTCAAAAACTTCGAGCTATAGTCCCCCTCTGTAGATAGAATACGGCTTTGGGTGTATTAGAATAAGATTCCCATATACACCATATTCTATCTACTTAAGGTGGCTATATCTCGTGACGAGAAGATATGTAGGCTAAACCAAGGAGAGTCACTCATGACCCAGAACATGTTATCCCCCTCCACCGCTTTAAGAAATGCCTTGGAGGTCAAGGAGCAAGCACAGTAAGTTTGGGTGCATATGCGGTCAAAGCTGAAGCAAGCATCGAAGCAGGGCCCAAAGGCCATGAACAAGGGATCACTACCGAATGCACTGGGCAGGGGTTACTGATCGCTCAAACTTTTACAGTAACACCTTTGCCTTCCCTCTCCTGCTCTGAACTAGGTAAGTACATTAGCAAACACGAGTGTTGTCTACAGTCTACCGCAGTACATAGGACTGACTCTAGGACTCTGGGATATTTCCTGGTAACCACCTTGGATTTTTCCTAAGCTTCTGAGAAACCCTAAGCCCTGAACCCTGGACCTTCTGGCAGGCGCCACTGATCTCCAGCAGCCTTGGAAGTTTATTGTTTGGGCCTAAACAACTACCCGAAATGGGGTTTAGGGCTTATAGGTCCTAAAGTTTAGGTTTTGTGGAAAAGATAAACACATCGAAACTTGTTTCTCAGGGGTTCACCAGGATAGGATTTCACAGGCCTAAATAATTACCAGTATCATGTTGCGAGTTCTGTTTGAGGTAATTCCCGTCCACTGCAACTGTACAGGAAACCCAGATCAGTGATTGGTTCGGGTTCTACCTTTAGAGATTGGGTACCCTAAACCCTAAACCCTAAACCCTGGGCAACTAACATACCATGGGCCCGGAATCCTAAGGCGCTTGAAATTTCCTAGGAGCGCAAGAAGCACAAGCCAAGGAACAGTACTGCAAGTTCACAGATTTCATGGAAGCTTTCATCTCAACTTTTTTTTTGCAGCGCCTCTACATAGGCTTCACTACTCGGATTGTTTTTTGGTTTTCGACACTTCCAGGAAGGCTCTGAATCATTTTTACCGGTTCCAGGTATGAACTGTCCACGGCAACTTGACCAGCAACAGCACACCCGCAGCTTTGCTTCTAATGTCATTGTTATCCATTCTCAACAGGGTACTATAGGGGCATAAATAGTTGCCAGTATAATTATACAAGGAATATGGAACCATAATACTGGCAATTATTTAGGCCCTTATACTACAGGCAGAATGGAAGAGAAAAACGCAACCAAACATGTTGATTTCTCAAGATGTGCTGCGCTCAGGCACATGTCTAGGTCTAGGTCGGGAATGCAGGGGCAAGGGGGTGGCGCACAGTCGTCCCATGGCTCCCAAGCCTCCACACCAGCCTGCTCCGTCAGAGATACATCGCACCAATGACTGGTCGCGCAGTGCTCTTCATGCTTGCGCCAGCGCGCAATGACCCTTTCTGAAAAAGTAAGCTGTGGCAGGAGGGAATGTGGAAGGAGGAGCTCCCACTCATCCTCAGTCTCCCGGACTAAAGCTGCCTTGCCTCGCCTTCCTAACTCATGCATCAACAATCCTGACGTCTGGTCCTCAAGTCCCAGCGATGAAGTAAGCTGCAAGTGGGCCTTCACAGCCGCTGCTTTCTCCTCGGCGCCTATCCCACCATCGTGAAGGAGGGGCCCATCCAGCACAATGATATCCACCGCGTCAATTTGCACTGCAAGAAGCTGCGCATGGCTGTATTCCCGGGTCCTTGATTCCCATCGATATGGCACTGTTCCAAGAACATGTGAGCTTTTGAACTGCATGTAAAGTGCTTGCCACTCAGGATGTTGAACGGAGTCGCGACCATCAAGATCGTCAAGCTCCCAAGCCCTATGCTGAATGGATGTCAGTGTCATGTCATCGCCAAATACCTTGTAAGCCTGCAGATTGGGCACTGACATCTCAGTGCTCACAATGCCAAGTCTGTCCATGGCACAAGCTTGCTGGTATCCGAGGGCGTGTTCCTTTTTCTCCCAATAACCAACAATTGGATGCATTGGTTTCTAGATCATGTTTAGTTCGCCCGCTATAACTTGGGAAATGCTGTGAGTCTCAACATAGGGTACCAGGAGGGAGTCATGGAGATGGCTGGGGATTACAAGGGATCATATGTTTGTATAGCTAAACCTTCAAGCGATCAGGTCTGCACAGCCCATCAGGCCGCAATGCGGCAGCAAAACGCCGGATGTAGCCATCCCACGATGTCCCCAAAGACATCTCATGACTTTCCTAATTCGGAGGGTGTTCCCCAAAAGTACGAACTCTTTTTTGGCCCCCACAATTAGGGAGCTACTATGGGGGTCTATATAGGCTAGTTATCTGTATGCCCTCCATCCGACCAACACCCGTGCACAGCCTCCAAGCCTCACTCACTTACGAAAACAGTCTCTTCGGACTTGGCAAGCAAACATGTGGCTCCGGGAGCCTCAAAGAAAACATTATGAGACAGTACGACCTCTCTAGGTCCTCCACAGGTTTGCTGTGCCCCCAACGCAAGCTACAAACGTCTCATGGAACCTAGGTAGGTATCATTTCGCCGCGCTAATTTTGTGTTTAATATGTATACAAATATATATATATACATACATATCTGTGGCTCAACTACCTAGCCTGAAATAGGCTTTAGGGGCGCTGCTTGGCCAGTAGCTCTTGCCCATCACCGTCCACTGGGGGCACAGGCCTGGCTCTCGGTCTGGCTTCTTCAAAATTAGTACTGCTACTACTATCTATCTATCATCACTACTATTACTCTTATTCCTATTACCAGTAGTATTGCGATCATTACCATTACTAATACCTGAACCCAAATGAGTAGGTGAAATAATGGCCCCAAGACCCTAAAGCGGCCCAAAAGGCAATTTTTCTACATACTTTGGGGTTCAGGTAAGCCCCTAAACCCACAATTCTACTGTATGTGGGTCCCGGGAAAGTTTGAGCAAGCATGGTTCAGATGGCGCCAATGCGAAAGGTTGGAAGCTTGAAGCAGTTGCCTCAAACGCTCAGGGTTTAGGGATTGGGGTTTAAGGTTCCACCGACCTCAACGAGCTCCAACTTAAGCCTCAACCCTTCGTCTCTCACTGGGATTCATTCAGGGTTTGGGCATTAAGGATCTGGAGATAAGGCTTTCAAAGTACGTGTCTTCCACTTCCAATCATCACCAGTGCTTGAGTACTTCTCCAAAATCCTTTTCTCACGTGGGTGGTTGTCAAAATTATGATGCCTTTTTGGGTCCCTATTATAGTACGGCACCTAATATTTAGGGTACCCAAAACGGGACCATAATTTTGACAACCGCCCATGTTCAACCCAAAGTCACACAGAGTCCAGTGAGACCCCCCGCCGGGCCGGGTTGAAACCCAGCAATCCGCACAGGCTCGGAACCTCCAGCAAAACTAAACCCTACCTGGACCCCAAAAGTATGTAAAATAAGGGCATTTATGGCTACTAGTCTGGGTTTAAGGCTATTGTTTCACATACTTTTGGGGCTTAGGTAAACCTGAAACTACACACATTGGGGGCTCTGCAAGACGGCAGCCCGGTAGGGACGCTAGGAATCCATTGAAGGATTGTTCGTAAGGGGATTGGGTCCTTATGAGGGATTATTTAAGGATTTTTCAAGAAACTCCCTCACTGCTATAACCAGCCATCCAGTACCCCGAATGCCTAAAGAACTAGCAGCGAGGGTGCTACACTGCCAAGGTCAGTACGGAAGGGTTTGGTGCGGGCGTGGGTGAGGAGGGTAGAATTTGAAATATCCGCTGGGGCGGACTCGGGTTTTAAGTGCTTGTTCACTTAGGTACAAGTAACTTATGCAAATTGACTTTGCACCCTAAACCCTAAACCCTAAAGGTTGACTTCGTATGATGTGGCCACTCCCTCCCCCTAGGGGTCCAAGGACCCAAATAATAAGGCTTCAGGGCCCAAATACTATACTAGTAATGGTATTTGGGCCCTAAAACCTGATTATTTGGGTCCTTGGACCCT